GGTTTTAGCATCTTGTGTTTCCTAGAATTGAGAGATGCTGATTAACTGTATCCACCTGCATTTTTTTAACAATAGATGGCTTATACCATCCAGTCTCCCATGGATGATTTACAAAAAATTTAAAAAATTAAAAGATGGATGCTAATACATGTGGCAGCACAATATAGAGTCAATGTTCATGAGATAGAATCTAATTGATTCTCTTGATTCCCACACCAAACCAACTCCATTTTGTAACTGGTTGTCACTCCATTCTGTCAATATAAGAACATTGATAAGGTGAAGGGTATCCAAAAGAGGGCAATCAGGATATGAAGGAGCCTGAAGCCATTGCCAAATAAGGATTGATTTGAAGGACTGTGCATGTTTAGCTTGAAGAAGAGAAGAATTGGGACAGATAGGTGCCACAGTAGATAGATTACCCGCCCTAGAGTTAAGATGACCTGAGTTTAAATCCGACCTCAGACACATAACATATACTAGATGGGTGACTCTGGGCAAGTCACTTAACCCCAACTGCCTCACAAGAAAGAGAAAGAGAGAAAGAGGGAGAGAGAGAGAGAGGGAGGGGGAGAGAGAGAGAGAGAGAGAGAGAGAGAGAGAGAGAGAGAGAGAGAGTGAGTAATGGGGTTTATTTGACTTCTAAGTTTGACTACTACCACACTAAGAAGAGTTTGGCTTGTTTGACCCCACAAGAACTTGGAGTAATGGGTAAAAGTAACAATGAGACTTGAGCATGATGTCAAGAAAAACTGTCTAGTAGCTAGCCAAAAGTGGAATGGGAAGCCTTGAAGGATGATAGTTTCCCATTCCTAGGAGGTCTTCAAACAAAATATGTGTGATCCCTTGTCAAGTATATTATGGTAGGCATTCCTGTCTAGTATGAGTTTGACTAGATGGACTCTGAGGCCCTTTCCTATGCTTCTGAGGGACCTTCTATCTCTAAATTCTAAGAACTTCCTAAAAAAACCTAATCCAAAGGCTTTTTTCTTAGTCCTCATCTTCCTTCACCTATCTAAAATATTTGATATTGTTGAATTCATTAATACTTCCTCTTCTGGCTTCTATAACATTATATACTTCTTTTCTGTCCCTTCACTTGTTCTTCTTTCTGACTCCTTAAATAAGTATTTTCCAATATTCTGTCTTCAACTACTTTTTCCTGATTTGATTTTTATGCAGAATTTTGAATCTGGAAAAGGTAACTATAATACTTGTTTGAAGGTTATTTGAGATAATACAGTTTGTCCCAAAAATCTTAGTGCAGTTTTAAGTTTTAATAACTTCTACAGTGTAAAAGCTAAAAACTTACAATGACAAAAACTGAAAGGTTAATTATTGATAATTTAAAATTTTACTTCTTATTGAAGTTCAACATAATCATCATCTTGTCTATATATCTCTCTAGTTAATTTTCAAACTTTGCAAAAATTGCATTTGTAATATTAACCTTAAGATCCTTCCAAGAATGAGGTGTTAGTACACACATGACAGCTTTTACATGACCCCAACCCCAAGAAAAATTATAATGAAGGTAGATTAAGTGACTGAGTTGGCCAAGCAAAAGGACCTTCACTATTGATTCAATAGTCTGAGAAAGTGTCATCCAGAAAACCATTCCACATGCAATGTATAATAGAGGGCACCCCCATATTGATAAATTAAAATTTTATTATTCAAAATTCACAAAACTAAGAAATGTAAAATAAACACAAATGAAATTTCAAATGATTATGTTTGAAGCATTTATACTTCTGAAAATAATAAAGCTTAAAACTTATTACACTAAAACTACTGGAACACCCTGCCTATGTATGTTTTTTACAACTCATTTTCTATTTTCTATCTGCATTTTCCCCTATTGATGAATTTATTTATCCTACTACTTCAATTAATACCTCTATGTTGATAATTACAGTCTACATATTCAACCATGTCTTTCTTCTGAGTTCAAAACCATCATTCTCAACTATCTCTTGGATATCTCCATATGGATTATAGTTAATAAGCATTTCCTAAGTGCCCACTATGTGTCAGATGCCTAAGCCCCACCCCTCTGCATGGTGGCAGCCCCAGAACCTTGCAAGGATGAAATCCTAGTCAGGTTCAATATCTAAAATGCCTCTTCTGGTCGATCCTGAGGTTGAAAATTGAATCCATCCAGGTAATTGCGCCACTAGAGGACCATTTTTCCTGAATAAGCCCTACCTCATGAGAGGCTTGGCTACAGAGAGGCCTTGAACTTTGTTCCTATATGTGTTCTTGGATTCTATCTGTTGAAAGCCCTGTGGAACTGGGGTAACCACTGGCAATTCTTATATACAGCAGTAGTGTGGTTTTCACTTAAGGTGATCAAAGGTTCAGGGGGCAGACGGTAGTTAAAATATGTTGTTCTGTATGACCCTTTGATGTTTCTTGAACTAGATGGTTTTCTGATGTCTCCTAAATATTATCTTACTATTTGCAATCTATCTCCTAACTTTGGCTTGTGACATAGCTTTAATTTGCTGTAAAAAGTTAATAGCTGACTTGTTAAAACACCCTATGCCTTGGCATGCTCTTACTATCTACTCCAATACTGGCAAAGAGCCAACACTATCAAGGTGGCCCCTAAGCTAGATATTGGGTGGTCCTTCACACTCTGCATCTGGAGATAAGGCTTAGGGCTCAGATGTTCAGAGGGAAATTCCTCATCGACATCAAGAAGAAGTGCCCTCCTCTTCACCATAAAATGAGAAAGAATGGACCACCCCTATCCAGACAGAGGAATACTTTAGAAAGGGTAAGGCTGTAGAAAGGAAATATCCCTATGTAAACCCCACCGAAACCCCAAGGCAGCAGAGCAATCACTGACAGTCCCAATACTGCTTTGTTGTTTCCCACTATCAGTCAATTGGAGTATTAGATTGGAATATTCAGTACTTATGGCTAGCCTGTGCCGATATATTAAAAATAACACTATTACTAAAGTTAAGTTACACTTTTAATGCCAATCAAATCATCAAGGGGATATTTTACAAAGCTTGATGAAATAATAAAAAAAAATTTGGAATAAACAAAAGATCCAGACTAACAAGGGAAATGACAAAAAAACAACACAAAACACCTAGGGATGAAAGGGTAATAGCAGTTCCTGACCTCTATCTATATTATAGCAGCAGGCATCAAAACCATCTGGTAACAGTTAAAGAATAGAGACATAGCTCAATGGAACAGACTACATGGAGACTCAGAAACAAAGGAACTCAATAATCCCGTGTTTGATAAAGCAGAAAACATCTTACTTAGGAAAGAACTCCCTTTATGATAAAAACTGCTAGGTAAACTAAAAAGCAGTCTGACAGAAATTAGGTTGAGACTCATACTTTTCACCATATTCCATTATACATTTTAAATGGACATGTGACCTTATTTTTATAGTTCATACTATAAAATGAATGAGAAGAGTAGCAAATCATTTACCTCTCATAGCTCTGAGTAGAAGATGTACTCTCAACCAATCAAGGAATAGAGGTAATTGCAAAAGATAAAACAGATAACTTTGTGTGTTCAAATTGTATCTTGTTCTGGTCCTCCTTACCACTGCTACCCCTTTCTTAATCGGTATAGTAAGTTTATAAGTAGCCAGTATAAAGGAGCAATATCAGGAAATAAGATTGCAAAGGGGAAACCTGGAAGTCATACACAAACTATCCCAGATATCAAAGGAGCATAATTTACAAATATATCATTTATTAACCAAAATTCACATCCTGTTAATGTATGCCAAATCAGTGCGGAAGGATTCTGGTCCTATGATATGTAAATTCCAGACAAATTCCAGACCCTCACAGTTCCAGACCAGTAGAACATCAAAAAGGTGCTGATAACCTTGAGATAACGTGGATATGTTAACTTTGAAGTTTAAAGTTTGAGATGATTTGGATATGTTAATGAACTAACCCCATGGTGGCAGAGATAAAAATTAATCTGTTCCCCTCAAAACCTTACAAAAATGAGACCTCAAATTCCTCCTCCTTGATAGTAAACACATAGAATTCATTTGCCAAAAAGTTATTCATGCTGACAATGGAATAAGATTTTTATAAATTCATGGATAATTTACATAGAATGGGTAATGGAAGATAAGATTATTTTGAATTTGTCTCTAGCCTTTTGAGACTAACATACTCTAAGGTAATTATCATGTTCTTCCATAATACTCCATGATGACATTGTAAATAGCCAGGGCCTCGTTTGAGTGATTCTGTGGCTATTGTTATGTTTTTAAATTAAAATTATGTGATGCAATAATTATAATGTAATATAAATAATAGTAAATAATATCTAAATAATTGAATTAATCAATAAAATTGAAAATTTAAATAGTTTAAAATATTTATCGGCCAGATTGGCACCTATTATGAATAAAAACTATGAAACTATGAAAAATGACAGAGGACATTGTCACTTGTGAGATATTTCTCTATAATTTCTACCATCAGTAGTAATATTGTCTATAAAGTTCTCTTAGGAGACTTTACAATACTAAATCTAAAGAGGTTATTTATTCATTTACAACTCATACCAATGATCACATTTCTAACAATGCCAATGTTGCTATACGTCAACTTAGTAGAGTATTTTTCCATCTTTCTATTTGACATAAAGTCTAGATTTGGCAAGATATTCTATTACACACAAAAGGCAACAGGTGAATGCTAGAAAAAAAGAAATGACTTCTGTATTTAAATTAAAGATGATTGTAAAAAATTAAAAACAATTTGCTATAGGATAACTTTTCCTATATCTTTGAAAACAACGAATTTGACAATAACAAAAGGAAACTATATGAAACTAATAACAAAACTATGTGAAAAACAGAACTATGATTTATAAAAAAAACAAACAAACAGAAACTATGCATCTACTAGAGAATGGTTATGTTTTGTTCAAACACCTTCAAAATATAGCACATAAAATGACCAGAACTATTCAAGATAAATGAGGCTTTATTATACCTGAAGAATATGTGTATAACTTTCTTCTCTATCTGGTTTTGTTCTGGTGTTTGATACTTCATCTGCTTTTGCTCCTTTCCATGTCTCTTTAGAAGAAGACTACATGGGCCAATAGGTGGTAAAAACAGTTTAGAAAGTGCCTGGGCAAGTCTAGATCCTACATATTGGAAGAAAGTTTGGTTCCTTTCAGCTTTTATATTTGAACAAATGAAAGGATTGATGGTGTCTTTTAGCTCAGCCTATTGAAAAAAAAAGAGGAAAAATGAGATAGACATCAGTGGAATTATTTGAACCAATATAACAATCACATAAATTATCAAGAACTATAATCCAGAGAGAAAAGAAGAGAGACAGAGTTTTAAAATATGGGATATGTGTTAATGGAAGCAGCACAATGGAGTGGACAGAGAGCTGGATTTGGAGTCAGAGAACTTGTCTCTGCCTTTTATTAATTATGACCTTGAGCAAATCACTTAATCTCTTGGACCTCAGCTTCTTCAACTATGAAATGAGGAGTTTGAATTAGATCTTTAAGGTCCCTTTCAACTTTAACTGAAAATCATGTGATCTTTGCTACTTATAAGTTATATATATATATGATATACATACACATATTTATAAAAATATGCACATTTTAAAATTTTTACTTTTTTAAAAATTTTTATTCATTTTAAGAAAAGCTTTATTTATTCCTATGCTTTTTAGGGTTTTTTAAATTTATTTATTTTTAGTTTTCACATTCACTTCCATAATATTTTGAGTTCCAAATTTTGTCCCCATCTCATCCCTCCCCCCACCCCAAAATGGCATGCATTCTGAATACCCCTTCCCCTAATCTGCCCTCTCTTCTATCTCTGCCCCTCCTTCTCTTATCCCTTCCACTTCAATTTTCCTGTAGGGCAGGATAGATTTCTATACCCCACTGCCTATATATCTTATTTCCCAGTTGCATGTTAAAAAAATTTTTTTTAACATTTATTTTTTAAAACTTTGGGTTCCAAATTTTCTCCCTTTCTCCCTTTCCACCTACCCTCATTGAGAAGGCAAGCAATTTGATACAGGTTATACATGTGTAGTCATGCAAAACACTTTAGTAGTCATACTGTGGAAAGCTAACTATATTTCCCTTCATCCTATCCCGCCCCCTATTTATTCTATTCTCTCTTTTGACCCTGTCCCTGCTCAGAAGTGTTTGCTTCTGATTACCCCCTCCCCCAATCTGCCCTCCCCTCTATCATCCCCCCGCTCTCTTATCCCCTTCCCCCCTATTTTCCTGTAAGGTAATATAGATTTCCATACCCAATTGAATGTGTATGTTATTCCTTCCTTAAGCCAAATCCTATGAGAATAAGATTCACTCATTCCCTCACCTTCACCTCCACTTCCCCTCCATTGTAAAAGCCTTTTCTGTTTGTTTTTTTTTGTGAGATAACTTACCCCATTCTACCTTTCCCTTTTTCCTTCTCCCAGTATAATCCTCTCTCATCCCTTAATTTTATTCTCCAGATATCACCCATTCATCTTCAACTCACCCTGTGCCCTCTATTTATCTATCTATCCATATATATATATATCTATATGTATATATAGATATATATATATATATATAATACATACATATAATATTTTCCCCTCTAACTACCCTAAGACTGACAAAGGTCTCATGAGTTACAAATATCAACTTTCCATGCAGGAATGTAAACAGCTCAACCTTAATAAGTCCCTTATGAGCTCTCTTTCCTGTTTACTTCTTCATGTTTCATTTGAGTCTTGTATTTGAAAGTCATATTTTCTTTTCAGCTCTGGTTTTTTCATCAAGAGTTGAAAGTCCTCTATTTCACTGAATGTCCATTTTTTCCCCTGAAGGATTATGCTCAGTTTTGCTGGGTAGGTGATTCTTGGTTGTAATCCTATCTCCTTTGACTTCCAGGAATATTATATTCCAAGCCCTGTGGTCCCTTAATGTAGAAGCTGCTAAATCTTGTGTTATCCTGATTGTGTTTCCATAATACTTGAATTGTTTCTTTCTGGTCACTTGCAATATTTTCTCCTTGACCTGGGAACTCTGGAATTTGGCTACAATATTCCTAGGAATTTTCCTTTGGAGATCTCTTTCAGGAGGTAATCACTGGATTCTTTCCATTTCTATTTTATCCTCTGGTTCTAGAATATCAGGGCAGTTTTCACTGATAATTTCTTAAAGATGATGTCTAAGTTCTTTTTTTGATCATGGCTTTCAGATAGTCCAATAATTTTAAAGTTATCTCTCCTGGATCTATTTTCCAGGTCAGTTGCTTTTCCAATGAGATATTTCACATTGTCTTCTATTTTTTCATTCTTTTGGTTTTATTTTTATAATGTCTTGATTTCTCATAAAGTCTCTAGCTTCCAGTTGCTCCATTCTAATTTTTAAGGAAGTATTTTCTTCAGTGAGCTTTTGGACTTCCTTTTCCATTTGGTCAATTCTGCTTTTTAAGGCATTCTTCTCCTCACTGGCTTTTTGGACCTCTTTTGCCATTTGGGTTAAGCTATTTTTTAAGGTGTTATTTTCTTCAGTATTTTTTTTGGGTCTCCTTTAGCAAGCTGTTGACTTGTTTTTCATGATTTTCTTGCATCACTCCCATTTCTTTTCCCAGTTTTTCCTCTATTTCTCTTACTTGCTTCTTAAAATCCTTTTTGAGCTCTTCCATGGCCTGGGACCAATTCATATTTTTCTTGGAGGCTTTGGGTGTAGCAGCTTTGACTTTGTTGTCTTCTTCTGGTTGTATGTTTTGATTTTCTTTGTTACCAAAGAAAGATTCTATGGTCTGACTTTTTTTTCACCTTTGTTTACTCATAATCCCAGTCAATTACTTGAGTTTTAAACACTTTGTAAGGTAGGGGTCTGCTTCCAATGTACTGTCCCAAGCTTTGGGGGTTTTGTGCAGCTGTTTTCAGAGATACTTCTAGGGACCTGTAAGTTTTCAGTTCTCCCAAGGCGGTATGATCAAGGGTGAGGTGTTTACTCTTTTCCTGGCCTGTGCTGTAGTCTATGAGTGACCACAAGCACTCTTTTCTACCTTGGAACTGTGAGAAGGATCCCCTCTCCACTGCCCCTACAAGCTCCACCACATCAGCACTCCTCATCGCCCCAGGATCACCACCCAGAACTGTGACCCAGATCTAAGCACAGGCAAAGCAAGAGAATCCTGCCTCAGCACCAGCAAAAGATCCCTGCAATCCCCCTCTTATCAGTCACTCAATTCCCTCTCAGTCTGTGGGCCGGAAGCTCTGGAAACAGCTGCTGCCCCACAGCCAAGTGCAGGAACTGAGGCTGGGACCTAGGTTCTCTCTCACCACAGTCACAGACTTTTCCTACTGACTTTCTAAGTTTTTCCTTGGCATTTGTGGGTTGAGAAGTCTGGAAACCGTCAAAGCTACCCGCGATTCATTCCTCTGAGGCCTGCTCCAGATTCACTGAGGCCTGTTTTGCCTGCATGCCCACGCCAAGCTGCGTTCCTCTCCCAGCTGGACATGATAGACCTTTCTGATCACCCATCCAGGTTGTCTTGGGCTAGAAATATGTTTCACTCTGTCTTTTTGTGGGTTCTGCTGCTCTAGAATTTGTTTAGTCAATTTTTTACAGGTATTTGGAGGAGTTTAGCGGAGAGCTCAAGTAAGCCAGTGCTTTCATTCCACATATTTATTTATATAAATAGATATACACTTACATATTATGTATAATACATATATATCTTTTAATCTTCAATCGTGATTCTGGCCACCTGTCACATATACACATATTATACATCATATAGATATAGATATGGAACATACAGGTGGCCAGGATCACACAATTTTTGATTAAAAGCTTCAAGAGACCTTAAAGATTTATATGCATAATATACACACCCATACTATATACACAAATGTATGTATATATGCATTGCATTTATGTTTTCATGTTTTCTAATGACACTCTATGTTTCTACATTGGCTACACACACAATACACACACACACTCACATACACATGTCTAGATCTGTGACTGCATTGGTATCAGAAGGAACTCTCTTTACTAATGCAAATTAGCAGCTGTTCTTCACTTTATAACCTTAGAGAGTTGTCTGCGGACATTTAGAGGTTAAATGACTTATTCAGGGTCACTAAGCTAATGTGTCAAAATATATACTCACATTCATGGCTTTCTGACTTCAAGTTCAGCTCCTTACTACTCCATTCTAATGCCTTTCTGTTCTTATACAATAAGTTAGACATTGTGTAATATACACTATAATATGCTAGCAATTAGCCATTTTTTGTATTTTTTGTGTTTTGAATCCTAATATATGTATATAAAAATAAAAAATAATACCACATATCAAATGTGTTGCTGTTGTTACATCTTTTTTTTTTTTTTAGCTGTGTCCAACTCTTTGTGACCCCAATGGGATTTTCTTGGCAAAAATACTGATTTACCATTTCCTTCACCAGGCTTCCCATTTTACAGTTTACAGTTGAAGAATCTGAGGCAAACAGAGGTTAAGTGACTTGCCCAGGGTCATATAGCTAGTATGTGTCTGAGGTTAGATTTGAACTCAGGTCCACCTGACTCTAGGCCCAGCACTCTATCCAGTGCACCACCTAGCTGCCCTTCATAACAAATTACACACACACACACACACACACACACACACACTTTGGCATGATATATAATTTGAACAGACAAAAATCTTGACTTTGTCTTAACAAATATGAATGCTATAAACTTTTTAAAATGTGAGGGCCACCAAGGTGCCTTCAAGCTCTAAATTTGTAATTATACTCTTATGACAGCAGAACTATTATGATAAATTAACACATTGCCATGTACTTAATTCTTAGTTCTTTGACTCAGAAGATTTGAATAAATCAGAATTTACAATCAAAAAAGAAACAAAGAATGACACAGAAATGGATGACTTCTGCTTAAGCCCAATCTAAGCCATTCCCAAAGAAGGAAGAAGGAGGAAGAGGAGGAGGAGACAGAGGAAGTGGGAGGGGAAGGGGGAGTGGAAGAGAAGGAGAGGAGGAGGAGAGAAAGAGGAAGAGGAAGAAGATGAAGATCTTGTTCACTTGATGAGAGTCTTCTTTCTTTCTTTCTTTGGCAGATGTCCATAACTTATTTTTAAATTACAACGCATATTTTATTGTGTATGACACAATCATCATAACCTGAATAGTTATTTTTAAAATGTCATCTAATGTATGTTTTTATGGT